AACTCCATGGGAAGAACCGAAAGGCATTTTATCAGCTTCAAAGGACTTGTACTTTCATCTCTGTTGTTTAGCCTTCTGGCATCTAATTAGATGTTTCCTCTATCCACTGAGTGTTTAGGGGTGGGCATGGCACCAGTCCAAGGTTAAAAGCTGACACTGCCCAATGGGTAGATTACAGGTTAAGGTTGCTACTGCGGCTTCTGGAACATGAGGCTGCGGGCATCACATGTGTTGGCACAGGGTGCGGGCACTTCAGATGTGGTTAGGGCCATGTGGAAGCTTTCTAGGGTTTATCCCGCCCAGCCCAGTTTAGGGCTCCGGAACAAGAGAAACAGAGTGCAGCAGTGAAACTCAGAAACCTGTGTTTAGACAAACAAACACAGAGATAGTTTGTGTGTATACACAAGTGTCTACGTTTGTCACTGTACTTTCGTTTTAAAGAATATAAACCAAGAAAATATAGTGAAGACAAATGTTGATATTTGTTCTATTAAGAATATGTGGATCTTTTGTTAGCATGCTGCGTCATTTAGTTTGAGACTTTCTTACATAACGGTTGGAATTCTTCTACAAACTTTCGGTTGGAATAAAGGAGAGCAATGGTCCACATTTTTCTCCATGTGCAACTATCTTAACTTTTCAGCTGTTAGATGAAAGTTCAGGCCATCATTCCTTAAATGTATTTACCCTGGCTCGTGTTGAGAGAACGGTCTTCTTTATACATTATTAGGTTGATCGACAAGCATGTTGAGGGAAAGACAAACAAGACGCCAGGACTGAAGAGATTGGCAGTTCTTTTTACATGCTAACAACACGGGCGGTGCAGAGTCAATATTCAAGTCATAAGTCAAAAAGATGTCAAATCTGGTGTTAGTGGTTCCCACGCTTTGCCCTGCCAAACTCTCTGAACCATGTACTGCTAATCTTTCTTACCATAAAGCCATCTTATGCACCCCACCCCTGCACTCTTCTTCTGTCGTCCCAAGTGGCTAGGTCTGACCCGGCCACTAGGTTTTATCTTTAATCATGAAGTGATTCTGGAGCATAGTGTTTCCCGACTGCTGAGCTGCTCGATCCTTTGTCAGGGATGTTAATTGGTCATTTAAGGCCAGACTTAGTGGATGGCATCTGTTTCACATGTGACACTGGTTGCCTCTGAACCATGTCGGCAATTATTCTTAATGAAGCGTGGCACTGGGAAGAACTGTGATATATTGTACAGTCTAAATTCAATATTTGCTTTTTTCTGGTGTATTTTTCTTTTTCTGTTCTTTTCTCTTTAGACCCTGAGACCCAATGTGAGCAGTTTAAGACATTATGCGATTCTCTACTTAAAGAAACATGTCCAACACTGATGTCTTTCAGGTCACAGAGTTCACTTGCAGAGCAACTTCGCACCAGGCTAAAGGTGCATATTTTTGAGTATGAACAAAAATGATTCCTGGCAATAAAAAATCTGTCTCCTAAAACATTCTTCTAATCAGTTAAATTTTCTTGGCACATTGCATGGAAGAAAATAAAACATCACCAGCAAGGAGTTAACAGTGTGAACATCACATTTTTGTTGTATAAAGTGCTTTGAGTGCTCAGGTAGAGTAGAAAAGTGCTATATAAGAACCAGTGCATGATTCCTGCATTTGTCTGACTGGATGGCATTCTCAGAGCCATTAGCCATTCTCCTTCCTTAAATGTTTAAGTAAGCAGAATTTTTTATCTCACTTGAAAATTATATTTGATGACCTACTTTTTTATATTAAATTTTATTATCCACCTTAGTAAAGTACACCATGCACATCTGACTGCAAAGTTTCCTTCCACACTATTATATCTCTGTCTCTTGTTTCCCTGTCTGCCAACTAGACGAGATGTGGCGGTCTCAACTGCTGTTTCAGCGTGAACCATGCTGAAGTAGTCTTCCAGTAGGTGGACAACTGGTTCATGTGCTGCTTTGCAAAGCTCACCAAGGCAGCAGAGCAGAGTAAGGCAAACATTTATCCTATCCCTCCCTGATTCTGGTTCTGCTACAGGTTTCTTCCTGTTAAAAGGGAGTTTTCTTTCCCACTGTTGCCAAGTGCGGGCTCATAGGTGGCTGTTCCATTATTGGGGCTTTTCTCTGTATTATTTTTGGCTCTGTGATATAAATAAAACTCAAATGAATTGAACTGGATTAAGTATGCCCATTATAAGCTTGCTGGCTGCCATCGACAGCTGCAGTTCAGTGGAGATACATGCATCAGATTCAACACAAGACTATAAGCACAACTGCTCTGTTACTTTCTAACATTGGAAGTGCATGCAGGAATGGAGTGCATCCTTTATTAATGTCCATAGTGGTTAGCATTGCTCGTACTAAAGGAACAATCAGCTTACTTTAGCATGTAAAAAAAGTTCTTTTGAAGTACCAAAAATAAGTGCCGCTGGGTTTAAGTGCACTAATATGTTGGCTCTTTAAAGTACAGTCTCATGACTGATGTGTATCTGTTGTAAAGTGAGGTAAAAATAGAACATGCGTATTGTAAATAACCTGAAATGAACAACAGCAGAAATGTCCTCAGTCAGGACAAGTTTTGGGCGTGTTTGATTTGAGTCATTAAGCAGCCAAAACATCACTCAGTTAGCATGCAAATGCTGTTTTAAAACCCTTCCTGCACATACAATCTGACCGTGTGAGTGAAAGTGAAATCTAATGAGTCTGAGAGCTGTGAAAGCACTGTGAAAGTAGGACGTAAGCACACAATTGGGCAGGCTAATTATAGAGCTACATGTGTGCAAATCTGCTCAGTTAATCTGTGCAAGAAAACCATTTCTCCCAAAGGAAGTGTAAGCCAGCGCAAATAAAGCATGTTTCAGCTAATTAAAGGCTCCCGTTTGTCTGTTTATGTGGGTGTGTTTTGAGTGTTTTTAACTTTAGTGTTCAAATGTGAGTTGTGTCTAAAGCAGCCAGTCCCCAGAGGACACCAGTGTGTGCTGCAGCCAGTGAATCTCAGCTAATGGAGGAACATTGTGAGGAATCTGATTTTATAGGCTCATATTAAGCTCATTTTGCCGTGTGTATTTTAAGACTCTCGCATAGTCTGCTGCTGCAGACATGTCCAGCTGCTGCTCCAAACTCACATAGAGTCTGATGAGAACAGCTGGCTCTCTGAAAAATAGAAAATGTCTTTTGATAATTGGGGAAGGTTGTAATTCAGAACTGCTTCTGTCCTTTTGAGGTCCGTTAAGTACAGGCTACACAGAGCCTCGGCTAACGACGGACAGATTGGGGTGCATAATTCAGTATCTTAAATGACTGATGCCTTGTTTTTCCCTGAGTCAAGTTTAGATTTAGTACTGTTACTAAAAAAAAGAAAACAAATTTATGAGACTTCATGTTTACATGCTGTTAACTTATGTAGTTACATACAGTAATTCCTGCATGCTGGTAGGTAATTAAGAAAACACAAAATCCTTTTCTTTCAGATCTCCTGCCAAAAAGGGCAATGGCGTGTCTTTGCTTGTTTCTTTCGCCTCATTACCCAGAATCATTTAGATTAAATCTAAAACCAACAGTTTGGAAACCATCTGCTTTTTTATTCAAATAATGCAAAGCTAATTTGAAGCGTGTCTGTGGTCAGCACTGATGGTTCACGTGACGTCAAAATTGCAGAATTTTATTATTCTGTGTCTCATGCTTTGCTGCTTTTCTGTAGCAGCGGGTCCTGTGATCAAGTGCCTTTTTTTTAACAACTTCAGAACCATTTTAATACCACCAGAAACATAAATGTGCCAGAGGTTTGGCAGAGTTGCACGTAAATGGTTGGTGGCCCGGGGATGGAAACCAGCACAGGGACGTTTACAGCCGGGCTTCGCTTCTCTCTTACTAGTCAGCGACAGTAGCTGGCGTGCTGAAGCTGAGGTTTCACCGGGTCGCTGCACTTTTATGGATTGAAAATGCTCGACGTATCATGCCTCACTTGCAGAGAATAGTCAAAGTTGTTCCAGTCTTAAACATGGGCTTGATGCTTGTTATGGGTTTTTTGGAGACAGCCATGCTTTCAGAGGAGCTGAAGTATCCAAAGTACCCCACCTCTTTCTACTGTCACTTTAAGATGCATTACGTCTCCTGAGTGTGTTCAGTCTCTTCTTTGTATGCTCCACTCATGCATGTTTTTCCAGTAATCCAGTTCAGGTCAGGGGGTGAACAAGATAAAAGGCAACGCAGAGGTCAAAGTTGAAACAGGTTATTAGCCTGAGCCCCGTTATGTATGTGGCTTTGTCGGTAAATGTTGACATCACACCAGAATGTGAGTTAGCAGCGGCATATCTGAGAGCGAGGAGCCCGTCTGAGAGCAAGCAGTCAGCTGGAGCTGAGGACAAGTTTAACCCACCTTAAACCAAATAAGTGGTGAATGTGCTCCATAAAATATTAATTTATTCACATTTCACAGCAGTATTGCAACACAAACCATGATGATTAGTGCTGCCCGCCTCATACACACAGGTTCCCCAGAGTGAGCTCTCTTTTGGATTAGGAACGGCCATCACGGATCATAGCTAAATATCTTAATCCAAAACTAGAAACAGAGACCATGGCATAAAATGTTTTTATATACACAGTATTGCTGTTTAGGGTCAACAGTAACAGTGTAACAGACACGCACAGTGACTGATAAGTAAATGTTTTTGGAAAAGTTGCTGAGGGTAATGAAAAGTGACAGAGGACCTGAGTCAGACATGAAGCTGACAAATAGGGATGCACTCAGACTGATGCATGAGTGTGTGTCTAAATGGTTCTTATGATTCATTTAGAAAATTCCAAAAATGCCTCCCTGCCATTAACGGAGAGTCAGATACTAAGAGCTCAGTAAAACAGACTTTTGCATTCCTGTATGCTTACTATACCAGATAGTTTGGGACTCACAGTCAGTGGTTTCACCCAGTCTGAAGGTCATGTGTGTGTTATTATGATGGCAGACAGTGGATTTTGATTGTGTGTTTATTTTGTGCCTGTGTGTTTGTAGGGCATGGCTTTCTCCCTGGAGGAGCGTCTCCAGGTGGGGATCCACGGCCTGCTGCCTCCCTGCTTCGCCAGTCAGGACATGCAGCTGTTGCGAGTGCTCAAGAACTATGACATGAAGAGAGATGACCTGGACAGGTGAGACTGGCACAGTCTAACACAGATGAGAAATTTCTTCAGTCAAGCTGCAATGACTTACCCACCTTATCTTCTATCAGCTTCGAATCAGCAGCCCATGAAGGGTTGAATTTCAACTAATCCTCCTAGTGCACGCAGAGAGTTCCACATCTGGAAGCCTTCAAGACACGAAAGGGATTACTGATCCGCCCCTCTAAAGTCCACATCCATCTCCTAACCCCATAGATGTTACCTAACAAACCTGCACGCTATTCTCCCCATCTCTCCTGCCACCTCTTCTTGTTGTCATACCCTGCATGTGGTCCAAATGAAAAGTGCAGAAAGTTTTACATGCTTCATTAGACTCAATGCTGTTACCATTTCAGTTCGAGCTCTTTGATAAGTCAAAGTCATCGTCTGGTTTACTGTTTTGAATTATCTGCAGCGCGCTGAATAATATGTGTTTGTGAAGCTGCCCCTCGCTCTAGTTAGCTGTCACTATAATGCTTGTGAGACAGGATTCAGGTTCAGCAGGAATTACTGTAGATAGCTTCTTAACAGCCTCCTCATTTTTCACCATAGCAACAGTGCAGCGTCAGCATATAAAAACAGTTATTACAAGCCTGACATTGCCATTCCCATGCCCTATTGGTGTCATTTACAATCTCTCCGGGACTTGAGTGTCTTCCAAACTATGAGTGTTGCTCTCGTAGATCACAGACTGCTATTTGCCTGTCGTTGCTCGAGCATGCTGTGTTTACATAGTCTGTCCTGTGACTCTGAATCCTTCTTTGGTGTTTAACGCTAGACGTTGTCATTCATTTTTTTATTGAGCATAACTCAAAATGTCATCTTCCCATACTATTTTAATCCCACGTGTGGAATTTGTCTTGGTTTTGAATTTTTTGAAAAAAGAGAAATGGCACTGTGAGCACATGCGTTTGCCATTTGAGATGATGGAGCGACTCGAATGCTTGCTGTGACTGCACCGTCAACACAGGAAATGGATGTTCAAAGCCTTTGCCAAGCCCAATACTGCAGGACATAAAATGGTACAGCTGAAGGGGAACTTCACATCCAGTGATGTTGTTAAAAGGCATTAATAGATTTAAAATGAGCCAAGGCTGAGCAGAGCTTGTTGATCACTCATGCTAAGACAGATAAAGGAAGAGATAGATGAGGTCCTAAGTCAGCTGCCCCACTAGGTTGACTTTAAAGGAAACAATGCATCCAATAAGTCAGCAGGGATACTGCTTTATAAAGCAGTGTGTACTGTAAATATTGCTGTTTCCTGGGTGTGGGAGTGTGCTCCCTTTTAAGGTTAAAAATGGAGAAAGAATTTTTTCTTAACATTTGCCAGCATCAAATCAAACCATATCACCCCACAGGAAATTATTAGGATTTTCTATGGAGACGTAACTAGTTGTGTGGTTTTGTTTGATGGTTTGATGACTGACAATCACAATTGAAGTCATTAAAATGTTGAAGAAAAATGTAAAATGTCTATTATTGTGCTCAACTGAAGCCACGTGTCGACACAGTTTCCACCTTTTTTCTCAGTCGTGCAATTCTTTGTGTTTTGAGATCTCTGTTGATTTTACTCATGAAGACCAGTTTATTTTCAAATCTTTTACTTTTCTCTCAGCCCACCAAAGAAAGAAAGGATTATATTGTGAAAATGACCAAATGTGATCATCACATCTCACTTTTGCCTCTCTTTAAATTCCACACACAATTAAACATACATGGAAATACAGTGTATAAGGCAAAAGCAGAACTTGAGAGTCAATATTTTGCATGAATTTTATTCAACACCTGAACTCTCTGAGGCAGCTTTCTTGTCATTTCTTTAAGTAGTCTTGAGGAATAGTTCACCTGGCTTCTTGAAGGACATTTAAAACTCTTCATTAGCTGCTTTTTGTTCTGTTCTCTGTCAAGATACAACACTGCTTTAATAATGTCGAGCTCCGGGCTCTGGGGAGGCCCATCCATGACTGACAGTGCTCCATTGTGTGTTTTTCTACCCAGGTATGCTCTTACTGCAGGGCCAGTGGGTTTGTGTTGCTGAAAACTGGAGCCAATCAGACACTTTCTAGAAAGCTTTCCAGAAAAGAATAATAATAATAATGATAATGATAATAACTTTATTGACTCCAGAGGGAAATTTATATGTCTGACACAGCTTATCTGCTATTTGCATGAAACTGAAAAACCTGATGGGTGTGAATGATTTTCTGTAACTCTAAAAACTAATTTACATAGCTTTAATCTCAGCCATTGCTTAAATTTTCTTTTAAAAGGAAATATTTTAATTTCCTTTTTTACAAGTCCATAATTTACTCCCTACTTTTCCCCCTGGCACTGATGTGGGTTCTGTACTGTTCCATAGCAGCTTTTGAAGGTAAAAATAAATATTCACATGTTATCAGCAAATGACATTACTAATGGCTGTTTATATGAGTATAAAAACATGTCAGTGTCTTTTAAGTGTGGACCACAGACTGTGTCAGCATACCTGCCAATTAATGAATTGCAGTTGGTAACCTCTGGGTACCAACCAGTCGCCCATCATGCAACACCCTCAGGCTGTGGATGACTTGCTTTAAATTGCAATGCGATAAAGCAAGTCACCTGGTGGGAAGCAACCTGTCTTCAGTTAGTCAAGGTCAAATTGGACTGACTGCAATCATTCTCAAACAGATTGGTGAAAGGTTGCCAATGTTTTAACCAGTCTGCTGAGCAGGAAGTCATTTTGCAGGTAAATCACTGTCTTACAGAAACTGCCACTATTTATGGAGGAATTTCTGTTTCAAATCTGTGAGCTTTTACATGAAAGTCTGTTGGAATCAGCTCTTCTGGAATTGCAGCTTTTGGCACTTCCAAGTTCTCTTCATTTTTCAGCCCTAGAGGTTGCCATTTAGTGTAGACTAGAACAAACTATTCACAACTGTTTTGTCACCATTTCCTTTTCCTTTTAAAAAGACAGACTCTCTTTCTAGTGTTTCAGCAACAGAGACAAGCTTTCATCATGCCACTCTGGCCAGACAAAGAGCCCCAGAGTAACATTTTCCACTCTCTTTTTTTTAGTGCTGTGAATTTTGAAGTTTTGAATCTGTCATTTCGCCTGAAACAAATCCATTGAGCAAAACCCCCCAGAAAACCTCAAGGGCAGCTTTTTTTCCTGTAGTTTTTGGTTCTCCTCAGCAGATCATGTTTGCTCAGGTGTCATGGACATGGTTTCATCACTTTGGTTCTTACTGTAGGAAACAGATACATACTGTTTTTGAGTCTTCAGTAAATAACACATTGAAGGCTACATTAATTAAACTTTTTTTTATTATATGATACTGCAAAAGCAAGCCGTTCTATGGTTATATTTGGGTTCATCAATATGAAAACACATCTCTTCAAGAGCAGCTGTCAGCACCGTGCATTGTGCAGGTGCTGTGGCCTAACCTATAGCAGAGAGGCCGCGCATGTTTTTTATCGTCTCAACAAGAGGAACCCTTGTGCTCTTGACTTCATGGAAACTTCTGTGATCAGGAGTAGAGCCCTTTCAGGCATGCTCTGCTTAATTTGGTTCAAATGCAAACCTTCAGTTCCCAGTAAATCTACAATCACAGTCAAAAGCTTGTGTAGGTTATCTGAGAACAATTTTTTATTCACTTTATTTGTTTCAGTCATTTGGAACACAAGTAAAAGATTTCTTCATAAATCAGGTTTTAGGGGGAATACTTATCTTCTTTTCCTTCTTTCTCATTTTTTTTTCAGTAGCTTCAGTTCCTTTAATCTCCCTGGTTTGTGCACTGTTGCAGCCAGGTGAACACAGTGTTCTCTCATCCCTAAGTCTCCTTGATAGTCTCTCGAAAACATCCAGGATTTAACATCTGACTTCAATAAGCTTAGGTTAGCAGCTACCATTTGTCAAGATGCTTAAGATTAACATGCTCTGTTTTCTTCTCTGTCACTCCCAGATATGTGTTCCTAATGGGGCTCCAGGACCGCAACGAGAAGCTCTTCTATCGGGTGCTGTTGTCAGACATCGAAAGGTTTATGCCCATCATTTACACCCCCACTGTGGGTCTGGCCTGCCAACAGTATAGCCTCATATTCCAAAGGCCTAGGTGAGTCACTCTCACAGTGTTTTTCTTCCTCTTATATTGTGAAATGGTACATTCCTAAACTAATAAACCCACTTAACATTACATTTATTATCAGCTTATTTCAGGCAATGTTGTTATCCCTCAATTGGTCTTTTAACACTCAGTTATTAAGTGTTTTGTGGTACTGGTTGTTGTGCTCAGTATCAGCCAGCATTTCTTTCTGTCTTTTTCTTACTGCTGGCTGTGTGGCATCTGTATTTCACTGCTTCAGGCTGCCCTTTTACACACCGAGTCCCACTGAAAAGAAGTGCCTGGTCACAGGTGTCAGCTAGTAACATACCATAGACTGATGGTATAAGGATAAAGGCAAAATGCAATCTAAATGCACATGGCAGATAGATTATGGTGTCCAAAAAGGATGAGAGATTCATTGGAGAGACAATATGCTAAAAAAGTTGACAGGCAGCAACAATAATATTGTTGAATAGCACAATCTGGGATTTAATCAATTGTGTAGATCATTATTTCACCCGAGGCTAAAAGCCATATAAATGTTCAAGCATGTGTGCCAACAAATGACTGGTTGCACTGTAACGAAACCAGAAGCTCAAAGACTCTTAACCTATGTGTATGCTATGTTGGAACTGGACTCTTTGATGCTATAAAATCTGAAACAAACTTGGAGGTTGCGGTAGGCCTTAAAGTTGTAGTTTGGTTGGACTGCTCAGCTCGAGGAAAAAACCGCAGTAGGCTGTTGAAATCAGTCCAGCATTTACCTTGACTGGATCTGGATCTGGCTCTGCTCCTTGTAGACATTCACAGGTTTCCCCTTCTTCTCTACTGTAAACGCACACATGCACACACGCACACGCACACACCCACACACACACATGCACACACACATTTCTCTGATTGTATCTGTTTTCTTTCACCTAGGTTCATCTGGTCCAAGTCTCTCACTATCTGACAAATAAATTCCCTGAGCAGCTACTAGATATTGAGCTGATACTGCTTTCACTCTCGTTCTGTTTTTCTTGGATCCTCCTCCTTGCATTTAACCTTTTTCAGGTGGTTACAAGTGCTCTGTTTGCTTCCAACTGAAAAAGGCTACCATTTTACTGTCCTCCACAGGCCCTTAACCTCACTTAACTGGAATTATAATTATTGACTTTGTTCTACCTCAAGCAACCAAGCAATTCTAGCTACTAAAATGACAGGAGTGCAGTCATTTATTGTTAGTAAACTACTGTCAGGAGCTGTAAAAAAATATAAGCCTTCATAATATACAGATTCAAATATGAATCTTCATCAATGATGACCTTAATCTTGGGATAACATTTTTTCTAAATGTAGGTTTGTAGGTTAAGTCTAGGCCATCATGGGTGAAAATACAATCATTCTAAGTGACACACAAAAACCATTTGCATATTTCCAAAAGACACTTTCTTGTTTCCAAAACATAGGGTTAGGGTTTGATATCACTGATAACTAACTAACAAGGTTAACTAAGGGTGACTACTAAAATGCTACTGAAATGCTTTACATTGCTTACTTTCAAAGGTTGCCATTTTGGCTGTGCAGTTGGAAGTAAAAGGAGGATATGTTGTCTACACCAATGATTGTGCAAATATAAGCTACCAAGCTAACAGTGCCTGATTGCACTTGAAACCACATATTACATTTATCCTAGAATTGTTATGTGTGTTAAATTATCACCTTTATTGTAGAACAGTCTAGTTTTATGTGTGGTCAGAAGCACAACATGTACAGCTGATAATCACGCTGCAGTAGCTACCACAACAGTTACAGTCATGTGTTACAAGTGTTACAATGATGTCTTGGAAGCAGCTACTTTCTGCTACTCCAAAGTTACAAAGGGTAACTCCACAAACTTCATTCAGGAGATTACCACAGATACCCTCACTGACATAACCCCAAAGAGAATTAAATCTTCTAAACCAGAGTGCTTTCACTTGTTAGGTGACTGTGTAAAACACTGTACTGTGGATTCACTCAATCTAAGACAACACTAACCTTTCAAGAAGTCTTATTCTACATAGCTACATATGTAGTGTACTAACAGAACTGACCTAAACTGAAACACAGTAATAACCTTAGAAATCAAAGAATGATGTCAGAAGGGTAGCGTATATTTTAAAGATACCAAGTAGCAATGGGGATCTACCAGTATTCCCTGCTATCAGGAATCTGGTCTGCAGCAGCAGCAGAATTTTGCTTTATTGAGTCCTGGTTTCATACAAACTCTTTGGATTCTTTGGATGAGCTGTGAAACCGCAGTTTTCCAAATTGTGTCCAAACAGTTTTATTTCAAACACTTACCTCTGGTACATTTAAGGTGCTTGGAAACCAAAATTCTCTCAGGCACATAACATTATCCAACATCTTGCTGTTTCCCCATCCTTGCAAAACTATTTGGAAAATATTCCTAGCATGCTTGCCTTCTTCTCACACTGAGCTGCCTGGAGGAGTCATTTTATACACTCCCTCTGTCTCAGAGCAGAGTGAGCCAGAACGTGCTGCCAGAGCCTCCGGGATTGGGAGCTTGGCCTCTTTGAATGCGCATCAGTGGGTCGGTTAGCAGAATACACCGGGGATGAATCCGACTGCCTTTAAGAGGCTATAAGAGATTTGGATTTTCAGCCAGGTTGCTCTGTACTGACATAGCCTGAGAAAAGAACAATGATATCTAGATTACTGCATTTTAAATCCCATGCTGACTGAAAGACTTGAAGAACTGAAGGACTTCTATAAAACTAATGTCTGTAGTTTTATAGAAGTCCTTCAGCAGAGCTTAAATAAGTGAACAGCATTTGCTATCCCAGTGAGCTTCTTCTTCTTTTTTTATTTTAATAGCTGCAGGTGGTTATATTGCATGATGATCTCATGTAATCTGTGGTTCATATAAGTACCCTGAAAAATCTGCTGCTGAGGAGAAGTGATGCCTTTTGGAGAAACTTGGGTGATACATGTCCCTTTGCAGATCACACAAAATTCAAATATGAGCACATGTTGCACTGATGAATTACTATGTCAACAAGAGGGGGAAAAGGTTTGCCAGAACTTATAATGATGATTGCTGTAAGCAACTAATCCTGGAGTCACACTTGTAAAAATAGTGGTCGAAGACCATGGCATGACCAAAATTACTCCAACTGTGCACAATGAGCTACAATATTGTTGCCTTTGAAGACAGGAGACCAGATCTGGGACAGTTTGTGGTTAGTTGCTGTCTTGCTGTCTTGTAAATGGCAAACATAAATCATTAGCGAGGGTGATTGTTCCAGTCTACAAGCTGCAAAGGCATGCTATCCATCCACTGGACAGACTTATGGTAACATGGGCTGTGCTTGTTTTAAAGAGCCTTTGAATAAACTCTTCTTTCACCTGTTTTCCTCCAGCCCCTCTCCTGTTTTGTCTTTTCTCTGTAACGTTATGGAGCAAAAAGTGGACATCTTAGTTTAATGAACACGTCTTTGTGTCATATTGAAAAACCACAAGCAAATATGAGTAATAGCATTTTCCATGGACTTGACTGTAAGGAACTACACCACCTTTACAATTTGTGTTACTGCTGAGGACACGTGGCCGTCATTTTGGTGTTTTGGTTTGGGGTTTTTTTCTATGATCCTGAAGGATAAGGTCAGGTTTCAGATTTGTTCTGGGTACATCTGGTGTAAAAATCCATGCTTCTGTTTTTGCTTTTTACTCAGAGGAAATTTGAGAAATCTTCATAATGGATTACTGATGTCACCATGCATCCATGTGTGTGAGTGCATATGTGCACGAATGTCTTCTATACTGACCACCCTAGCAGCAGATTAGGTTCTAGTCACTGGCATTCAGGTATAAAGACTTTCTGTGTGGAAGCAGGAACCCCTCTTTGTCTCATCTGATTAGCAGCTAATCTACCTCTTGGACTAAACACTCTGACACCAGGACTTGTAGCAGAGGCTCAAAGTTGAGCACTATTAACTGTCAAACCAAGGCTTTTTTCACTGATCTTAAGATAGGAGAGAGACAGTCGGACAAAGGAATACATTCACAGAAGATGAGAAGATTTGTGCTTCTGCTTACTTTTGTTGGTTTGTAAGCTTGTGAGCAGATAGTGTTTAGCAGATAATGTTAGCCTGTCTTCATCACACAAAGTTTGTTTCTGTTCTCACCATAAATATAGGTTGTGTACTTTTGTTTGACAGTTGAAAGAGCCCACTTGTGATAAATGAAAATGTTTTTCAGCAGAAACATGATTCCAAGTGTAGTTTGAAAATAATTACCTCTAGCTGAGCCATTTCCAGTGCTCCTGTGACCTCTTTGGTGTGTCTAAACAAAAATCCTCATAGGCCCTTTTACCACTACCAACCGTGCCTTTTCAAGGGGCCCTTGTCATAAACGATATGAACCAATCCATTTCACTGATGGAGATCGAGTGGATTCCACTTTGAGGGGATCTGTATAGTTTTATCTGTCAGAAGCTGGAGGCTTTCTTAAAACTAAGAGGCATTCTTGAAGGCAAGGTGAAGAACCTTTTCTTCTTCTTTTAAAAGTCTTAGCACCAGTGTGCACCATGTGATATGATACACAGGAACTATTTTTTTCCTATACATTTAGCTCTTAAGCCCTTTCACTGAACTCTTTCAAAGATGGATTGTGTTATTAAAGACAGAGCATGCGAGAAAGGCATGTTGTCAGATCAATCTAATCTAATTTATTAGAAGTATGTGGCTGATGGTGTTATGATGCCTTTCCTGTCTGAAAGAGTGTATTTAATTTCAATGAACAATGTAAAAATGAGTTTATTGTAATGAAATTATTCTTTTTTTCACATTTCTTTTTCCTCTGACGCTCTCATTTTGACTTCAGTTGGAAGGTAACTGCACTTTTCATCAGTCCTTGATAGCCCAAACTCACTCACACTGAATTTCAACCTAAAAAAGATCTGTCTAGAAGATTTACAAATCGTAAAAGGTTTCTGTAGGTAAACCTATCGATCACTAACAGTT